AGAGATTTCGCGAAATTGCCTTAAACAAATGTGCAGAAAGCAAATCAAATACTATGACTACAGTGTTCGTGATTGGAAGCACCAAAATGCATTCAATTTTTGCTGGACATTTCAAGGACCGATTTAACCTCGCGCGACACTCGAGTCGCATAAGGTTACTTTTAAAAAAATAGCCGTAATTTTCGGTTTTGTGGAAGTACTTAGCAAAAGGAGAGATGCTTACCACAAAACCCCAAGCTCGTGCGATTTGTCTGAGAAAAACTCAGCAATTCCCATTTAAATCAAAAATAATTTAGCACAAATCTTTCGAATCAAAGCACACATTTGCCTTTAAAGCAATGCAACTAGGCTTTTTCACTAAACCTATTAGTTACTATAGCAACTAAATTTTATTGAAACCCAGTAATAAGCAAACATTAAACATGCTCAAGCGAAACACAAATCCTGCTTAGGAGGGATGCTGATACAATCCATGCCGGCTTGCAGTGCATAGAATACTACTTAAATCTCTCACAAAGCAGCTAAGTCTTAACCTCACGAATCGAATCAGAAATCGGGCAAAAATTTTTAAACCTTTAAATCTCCTCAAACAACGAAACAAGTGGCCTGTTATGAAGAATTAACAGTGAATGAAATGACCTAATACAGGCTACAACTCCTGCAAAGTGAGCTTAAAGGGTAAAACTAGACACAGTTATATCCTTGCTTAGTTGAGAAAAAAGAAGCGTTTTGCCAACCTTTCGCTTGGATCTGACTGCCATCCGACTCCGAGTGGCGGAAATGGCTCCAATCACTTGGGTAGAGTTAAGCTTCCAACAAATCACCGAGTATGAGCAAATGAGAAGAGTTAGCGGAATGAAATACTGCATCACCATGAGCGTGGTGGTGTAAGCCTGGCTCCTATGAGCGTCCCACGACTCTTCACAACGCGCATTCGCCCCCTCCGGCAAGTATCCCACCACCGCCAATGGTGTAGCCTGAACACATGCAGTCAACCAAAGAAGAATGATAAGAAATTTTGCACGTCGTGGCGTCAGAAGGCGACGTCTCTGTAGGGGTCGAAAGACAATGAGGAAGCGGTCACAAGAGATGAGGACGTGGGTGAAGGCTGTTAAAGTAACTGTCAAGCATTGGATGAATGGCACCAGTTTACACATAGTCGCCCCGAAAGGCCAGTGATTGAGCCATATATCCGCTATCGCTGTCATAGGAATGACGGCCAATGTGGTAAGTATGTCCGTTACACTGAGGTTAAAAAGGAAAATGTTAGTGACTGAATGTTGGAGATAGCGATGAATGACGTAGCAAACAAGGGAGTTGCCAATAAGAGCTATAATCATAAGTGGGATGTAGGGTAGACTCATGCCGAGTTTCATCCCCAAATTGAATATTTCCATAGTCTCAGGGTGAGTAACATTTTGACTTCCCGTTTCTGTCGGTAAATGTGACGCATTAGGCATAGTTGCATATGTATTGAGGGTGGATTGAGCCAATTTAATGATGAGGGGTATGGTTCACGGTTTCGTTGTAGATGTGTGCGCCTGGTAAGACTGTTTGCATTTATCAACCAATCAGCGGTGGACAAGTTGAGGTTGCCTTTGGCCAACCAACAGAAATCACAGATAATTTGCAATTCGAAACTTTGCCCTGATAATTTAGAAAAGCAATTAAATCATGTAAAATATATATGTGAGCAGTCGATCCGCATAAACGTTTAACTAGAATGCCCATGGAGTAGAGCTTTCGGCCATACGAATTCGGAATGACAGGTTATGTCGACATCTGATTTTTTCAAGGGACAGAATTTTGTACCTTCCAAAATGGCAACTCGATAGCCTATTGTAATATAAAAGTGGCAGAATGGGAATTCAAATCGCCTCTTAATAAATCACAAATGTGCAAACTTAGCTGCGTAGTTTAAGTTGATGAATTCACCAAGAGTCCTAGACAAAACACCAAAATTTACGGAACAAATGGTACTGAATTCTCGTTTGTTTTGATTTACAGAATCTGCCATCTACTGTAGTAAAGTTTACACTTTTATCATTTTATAAGCCACAAGAATGTGTGTTTATAGAAATTAAAGAGCTAGCAACAGCCATATCTAGGCAAACACACATAAAAGGATGTGATAGAATCAAACCGTTTTGATTAGCCGGTAACTATGACGAATGCCAAAAGGGTGATAGGAAAGGCAGATCAGCTTTTAAACACGTTTGTTAATTTGTCAAAGACTAAATTTTCGACAGTCGAGGGAGCATGAGATGAATTGCTTACGCGACGAGGCATGTGTAGCAACATTTATGCTTACGAAAACCGCGGTTATGAAATAAATAGGTAGAACCGAGGAAGGCATGAAAAGAAAACAAAATTGTTGCATGATGTGGCATCCAAAGTCAGGTGCATAAATGTCATACAAGGTGAAATTGAAGTGAAAATGTTAGCAGTCTGAAAGGTGATGGAGGTTCTTTAACTGATAGATTATTTATTGACTTGAAAACAGTTTTAGAAGCGCTAACGGTGAATGAATAGGTTGATGGTTTGGAGGTTATAATAAAATGTGGAGGTGGCAGTAAAATTGCTCCGCAGGGTCAGACATTGCGATGAAGTCCGCCATTCGCAGGACATCAAACATCAACAATGTCAACCGCTACGGAATTGGATTTGGATGCGCACAAATGCGCACAGGATTTAATTACTTATTTAAAGGTGACCGCCACATAGAAAATGTTGAAACTGGGCAATTTTTGTTAATCGTCTTCTTCACTTTGCATGCGATTGTCCAATTGTTGTCACTGCTGCAAAATGACGATTGCTGTCATTTGGCCTAAGCTAATCACAGAAAGATGAAAAGTGAAAATGAGAATGCAACGAGCCTTCCCATCCCAATCCATCCTCTGCCTCTCTCCTCTCCTTCTCTCTCTCTCTCTCCCTCCCTCCCTCCTCCTCCTCCTCCTCTCATTTCTCCCCAAGCAAAGCTCAACTCTACCCATGGATTAGTTAT